TTTTTATAGTCTTTTCTAGTGTTTTATGTTTAAATAATTAAGATTTTCTTTTCAGAATTCTGTGTTGAGGAACACAATAATCAAAGAAGAAACAAAAAACAATCAACAAAAGTAAAACCACTGCACTGTCTCTCTACCATTTTCACTCCACTGTCGGAGCTCAATCGCAATAGTGCCCAGCCCATTCACCATCTTGAAGAAAATTCAAGCCCAATAGTGAAGCCCAAATCATCTAGTCGGTCTTCTTTTTTCAAGCTTCGTTAGAATTTTGTTGGGCCATTCTAAGCTCAATTATTTTGGATTCCAACTTGGACCTGGTCCAATTGGAATAATTTTAATTTGCTTTTATTTATTTTATGCTCTTATTGATAGGTGTTTTAAAATATATAAAATAATAAAGTTTTTTAATTCATGATTTCTTATCAAATGATTGGAAGATTTTTATACGTTTAAAAATCTTTAAATTATAAATTCTACCAAACTATTAAAAAATTTCATAATAAATTTTGAAAAATAGTCTTTCATCCTACCAAATGATTGAAGGATTTAAATATTGAATTATGAATTTTACTAAACGATTGAAGAATTTCATAATGAATTTTTAAAAAAAATAATTTTTTAATCCTACCAAATGATTGGAGGATTTAAATCTTTAGAGTTAAATCTTATCAAAATATTGAAAGATTTAATTATTCTTTTTAAAATTTTCATAAAAAGGTTTTTCAAATAAAAATCCTACCAAACAATTGGGGGATATGCATTGATATAAAATCCTATCAAATAATTGAAATATTTTATTAATTGTTTTCAAAATTAATTTCTTGAAAAAAAAACACATTAATGAATTTAATGATGAAGCCTCTTTAAAGTGGGACATGATTTTTTATGAATACGTTTAAAGTAAGAAAATTATCTTAAATTGCTACCAAATTGTTGGAGTAACTTTAAGACCAATTTCTAATATTAAATTATTTGAAAAAAATTCAAATATGTTGCAAGGCTTGGATAACATGAAATTAAATTAGTACCATCCTTCAATGGATAATGTCAAAGTGTTATAAACTTTCTCATACATAATCGTACTCTCAAACATAGTAATAATTTTGTAAATCATAATCTACCTTTTAAAGATGCCTAAGTTAAGCTTAGGACTTTTTTTAAAATGGGATGGATTCAATAAGGTGGCCAATCGCACCTAAACAAAAAAAAATTTATGGCTACTTTTAGAGTCAAATCTAGTTATAGGTTCACAAATCTATATGTTATGACAATAGTAATGGGTTTGCTTTATTAAAATCAGCCTTTAGGTTTTAATACTTCATCTCTAGTGATGAAGCAACAAGTTTTCATTCTAATACTCCATCCAATTCATCCAAATGGTTTTACTTTCTTTCTATAATCTACATCCAATTTACTGGAGTTCAACTATCATTATCATATAGATAAATTGGCTAAGGGTAGCAATCATTTAATGGATATGAGTTAGATAGTCCTTTTTAGCCAAAAGGATGCATTAATCACTACAATAGTTATATAACCAAATTTGGGCATTAATCACTGCAATAGTTATAGAATCAAACTTAGGATTATAAGATATTGACATTATAGAGATTTAGGAAACATTAACAAGTAGTAGGATTTTAACATAGTAGCTGAATAATAAATTGAGCAACATGTAAAAAACTTTCTAATATAATTTTATTTTTAGATTCACTTTTGATAATTACTTTGCCGACACCCATTTAAAAGACAACAACATAAAAATTAAGTTAAATATTATGGACAGTGATGAAATTTTATTGGCTATCAAATAATTCAATTTAGATATTTTTCCTATCAAGAAATTCACCCTATAAAATTAAAAGACAAATCACAACAAATAAGAACCATAAGAAAATCTCTAAGAAAAAATCCTAAACACTCCAGAAACCATCACAAGCCCCTACAAATTGTCACCGTTGACCACACTAAGAGCCACCACTTATCACTAAAAAGTAACTCCTCCACAACCTACAGCAATCGACATAATCACTTAGATTACTTATACTAAAAAACTACAAAAATTAAAAATCAATATCTAAGCTACCAATTTGACACCACCAAGACAACCGAATAAAAAAGAACTAAAGAAAAATACCCTAAAAAACCTCTACTGCCTTTACCATCCAAAGCCACCATCTACGTACTTTCATAATCTAACCACCACCATGAAACTTTATTTTCAACATAAAGAAATCCCAAATTTTTAAAATAAAAAGTCACAACAAAAAAATTAAAAAAAAAAAAACAAAGTCAGCCACAATACCATAAGCAAACAAAACAAACAAACAAACAGCCAGGAAAAACAAAAAAAAATTAAGAGTATCCAATACCTAAAAAATGGATGAAAGGTTAAGTCTATGATAGTTTCGAGCATGAGGGATTTTTCAAGTTTAGAAGTGTTTTCAGGGGAGTTTAGTTCAAGCTTTTTAGGATGAGGAAGTTGTGAAAAGGGAAAGCCATTTTAAGGTTTTAAAGGTGCTTATTGTAGTACTAGTGGTGAAAAAGTTTAAAAAATTTGAAGAGGTGGAAATGAAAGACCAGGATAGGGAAAAAACATATTTTAGTTGTAACAGAGTTGAAAAATAATAAAAGCGTTTCAGTGGCTTAAAGGTTCAATTTAAAGCTTTAGATCTAGCAAAATTTGAGAGTTTTCTAAAAAAATTCACTCTGATAAAAGGATTAGTGAAGAAGGAAGATTTGGTGGATAAAATTTGGATCAATTTTTATGCCGACGAGCAACAACCGTTAATGAAAGACGACAATGATTGATCAAAATCTAGAAAAAAGATGTCTTATAGAAAAGGTGTTTTGGATAAAGATGGTTTAAGTTTTTAACTTTGGAATGAGATAGAGAAATGAAAAATAACGTTAAAAAAATTAGGATTTTATAATGGGATTTTAGCTAAACGAATTTAGGTTAAAAAAAAAAAAAATGGATGAATTTATTTGGGTCATCCCACACCAAATTCAAATTGAGTCATGTTTAGAGCTGACGGTTCAGATTAGGCCTACATGTAGATTAGGCCCAAACTATGACCAATTTGGTTTGGACCTTTTTCCTAAATTGGGTTGGTTCAATATTAATGGTATATTTCTACAAAACTCTTTACTCCTTTATTTGTTTATTTAAATTTTAAATTACATTCTTGTTTATATTTTATTTTTAAATATATGTTTTTAATTTATTTAAATTATTTTAATTTTAATTAGTGATAATAAAATTATTTATAATGATTAGTCAAACACTAAATAATTAAAAACTACAAAATTTATAAGCATGAAAAATAAGTCAGTTCACTTACATCATTAATCATTATATTTCTTCTTGCATCATGTGAATCTAATAAAAAAATATGAGAATTATTAAAACAATAAGAAAAAAAAATTTTGGCGATGAGTGAATTATTCTCATAATGTAAAATTATAAGAGAATCACACAGGAATTTAAAGAAATTTTTAAGTAAAAAAATGTTTTTAAATTTTATAAAAAAATTTAAATAAATAAAAAGAGCAAATTTGAAATTAGATAAAAAAATAAATTTTAAATTTCTTCATAAATATAACAAGTTCAACATCGAAAATTTTTTAAAAAATGAACTGTTTTTTTAATATTTTTGAAATAAAAAAATATAAAAAAATTCTGCTATGAAACGCGAATAAATGCTCTAATACTCTATCAAATTAATTTTTCTTCCGGTGGCATTTAAAAAATTAATTAATTAACCTTTCTGAATTACTGTGTTTGATTTGGCAAAAAATAAACCATTGTATATGAATGATATTTTTGTCATTATAAAAAATTTTAAAAGACATAGTTGTCTTTGCAAATATTTATTTGGAGTCAAAGTCAAAAGGCCCAATACTTTCTCACCTACAAGCTACAGCAAATAGAAAGTTGTTTACCGAAAGTTCAGGTGTCAGGTTTGTATACGCTGACGTAGGCCTTTTAATTGCTCGAGTGCGGTGAAAGAGACCGTCGGAACACCTGCGGCTGGCATTCCCCAAATAATTAATAACCTGAATGGTGCCCTGCTTTGCGTGGGGTCACTGTTTTTTATAAGTTATTTACAAAAAATAATTTTAGATTGAATAATATTTGATAATGAAAATAATAATATTTCTTCAAATAAATAATAATAGTGATAATAAAATGAAATCAAGTTCTTTCGAAAACTTACTTGATTTTCACAAGTCTAAAAAGCAAAGAAGGCACTACTCATTTTTCTTCTTTTTCTTAAAAAAAATGAAAAGTTTAATTTTCTCTTCTCTAGTAAATCCTCTTTAGAAACAATATATTATTAGAATTTTTTATATTTAAATAATAAAATTTACAAAATAAAATAAAGAAAATTAATTAAGAAAGAACATTTTAATTAATACTATGAAGGATAATATAATATTAATAAGTATTATCCTTTTGATAAATGTTGAGGGCTGTTAATAAATATTTCATATATAATCATACTTTCCGATCTATAAAAATAGATAAAAATTTATTTTTTATGAAAACTTTAGTCCATTTTAAAATATTTTTAAAAAATAATAAATTCAATTAAGTAATCAATCATACAAAATAAATTATAATAATTTTTTGTGTCCAGTTTTTAAATTTTTAAATTCACACACATGATTAGATGGATTTTTAATAGAATACAAACAATAACTTCAACATCTCAATTTCAAGCAATACCACTTGAATTCTTGTTTAGTGTAGATTATTATTGTTTGTTTTAATTCTATTTTATTTGATGAATTAGATTCCTTTTTTCAAAATTATTTTAAATTTAATAGTTAAAAAGTATTTATTTTACTTCTCCAAAAGAAAACTTTGCAGTTTAGCATAAAATTTCATAAAAAAATAATATATTTTTTCATGTGAAATATCCATTTCATATTTTATATTTTAATCCAAAATTATTTTGAATATAAATACAAAATATTTTATGAAATATTTTATTTTCTTGCTTTCATATTTTTCATAACATCTAAATTCTAACACCATTTCATGACTAGTGACAACAGGCAAGTTGTGTTGTTTCATTTCTTCCTTTTCTAAGCGAACCAAACCACCTTAGACCTTGCTATTTTTAAGCACGCCTTAGCCCACCCAACTTTCCGCCAACCTATGGCAAATAATACACATGATGCTAACAGCTTGCTGTCCGGTCCTTAACCCGGCACCCACAAATATTCTAGTATCAGATTCAAACCACTTAATTAACAGCTTAAGCTGCTGTTTCAAGAGATGGATAATCAGTGTAGCCAACAACAGGATCTGATACGTAGAATGTATCTCTGTTGTACTGATTGAGAGGAGCATCAAGCTCAAATCTCCTTGGCAAATCCGGGTTGGCTAAAAACAAACGACCAAACGCAACAAGATCTGCATGGTTTTCAGCCACTGCTTTGTTTCCATCTTCCCTGTCATAACCCCCAGCAACAATGAAAGTACCATTAAAAGCCTTTCTCATTGGCAGGAGACTATGGGGACATTCACATTTTTCTCCCACTTTCATCATTCTTGGCTCGACCATGTGACAGTAGAGAATTCCGTATTTATTCAAGGATTCTGCCATGTAGAGGCCTAATGCTTTTGGATTCGAGTCTCCTGATTCCATATAGTTTGCAAAGGGAGAAAGTCTTATTCCAACTTTATCTGCTCCTATCTCATTACAAATGGCTTCAACTATTTCCAGAGCGAATCTGCAGCGGTTCTTTAGAGATCCACCATACTGGTCTGTTCGATCATTGACCTGATCTTTCATAAACTGGTCAATTAGATATCCATGAGCCCCATGAATCTCGACTCCATCAAAACCTAAGAACCATAGGGCAAAATCAGCACAACATAAAAGTAACAGCATCAATGGTGTAATTAAATCCTTGCAGATGATTGACAACCCCACAGAGTAAGCAAAAGTTTAGTTTCTTGTCATTTGATATATAGCATTCATAATCTAGCAATAAGTAATTTTGCTTTTAGTTGAAGAGCTAGCATTTTTCATTCCATCATACAGGTAGGAAGTCGAAATTCACATTTGTTCCACATAAAAAGTTCTTAAAAGTTGAGATTCATTCAATCTTTAGTTTATCATAGAGAAAGAACTCACCAGCTTCCATGGCATTCCTTGCAGCAAGTCTAAAATCATTGACAATTTGAGGGATCTCATCTGTTCTTAACTGCCTTGGAGGTGAGAACCTTGCAACATCTATTCCGTTTGCTCGAACCTGGGGCATCAATGGCTTGTCTGTACAGGAGATTGGAGCTTGTCCATTTGGCTGAAAACCTGCATGCGTGGACAAGGGATAAAGATTAATTGTTATAACCAGATAAAAGAGCCCTTGGTTATTTTAAAATCAATTTGTGTGAGTGAGGCCAAGACAAATTTGACAAGAAAAGAGGCAGTAAAGCTTCAAAAAAAAAGTTTGGGAGGAGATTCCTGCTAAGAAAAAACCTGTATCCATTTCAACTTAGACTCCATTTGATTAATGTTTTTACTATTTGTTTTTCACCTTTTAAAATAGAAAGTGAAAAGAAAAATATAAAAAATAAACCAAAAATAAGTGACAAATAGAAAAAAGTAAAATCAAACCTTAATTCAAAACCAAAATGGGGAAAATATCGATATATTTAGGCTTTATGATGAGAATGTCTAAGTAATTTCTATTTTATATTGCCTTTTTATCTGCAGGTTTCTATAGTTAAAGCTTGGAATAGAACTTGTAGCAGTTAGAATGAAGGAAAAAGGCATATAGATCAATAAGATGAATTCTTCCAAGTGAAGCACAGTATCAGAAGTTCAACTCAAAAAAGTTTCAAGTGATTAAGGAAGAACAGACCCCGGGAAATAACCCCCTGGGAAGATGAATTAACCAATACAAGACATGTAGAAACTACTTATGAGTTCTAAAATCTGAGAGGTATGTTCAAATGCTGAACACCAACAAACGAAGAAAATGAATAATCAATCACAATCCATCACACATTGATTGCATAACATGTACCGACAATGGATATTCATCTGCTAATTTGTATTTCAAAATGTTTATTTGACCAAAAAAAGTAATGCAGCCCACTGCTTTGAATTGGACATGCAACACCAAGGTCCTTTACATTAACAAGCATGTTGATGCCTAAATTTATAACCCATGTTTAGTCAAATTGAGCGCACTCAACAGTCATCGAGTCATGACTGCAAATCTCTGTTCTAGATATATCATGTACTATACTACAAGTTATGTCATGCCATCAGTTTCACCTTGATCAAATTCCTACTTGGTAGTTTCCATTTATTGTTAGAGGATTTTTAGGTTATTTGTTATTATCTTTAGGATATCATAGGATTTGCCAATTTTGATGTTTTAGCTATATATATACTCTTATACTCTATAAAGTTTCTTAAGAATTCATAAATAAAATTCTTATGAATTTCTTCAATTTCAAAACATCACAACTCTCCAGATTGACTTATTCTTTTACTATATAATTATATAAAAATCTTGTTGAATGCTCAATCACCAGCCACTTTAAGACAGGAGAGAAGACACAATAGAGGAGGTCTAAGAAAAATGCTCACCTTGATTTGAAACCCTTCCCACATGCCAAATCTGACAAAAGAAGATCCCACCTTTTGCATGGACAGCATCAACAATGGGTTTCCATGCTTCAACTTGCTCTTTCGTCCATATACCAGGTGTTTCTGGGTACCTTTATCCCGTAAGAAGCCAAGTATTTCATTAAACTTTGAGGTGATAAAAAAGTAATAAATCTAAAAGAAGTTGACAGTCCAAAATATATGTGGTTACCCTTGAGCTGTATCAGAAACTCCGGTAGCTTCAGCTATCAAAAGACCACCTTTGGAAGTTCTCTGGGAATAATATAAAATGGCATGCGGCTGAGGAACATTGTCGTAAGATCTCTGTCTAGTCAATGGAGCCAATACAATTCTGAGAAGGGAAAACAAAATTGATAAAGCAAATCTAGCTCCGAAATTCTAAACCAAAAGAAAGTGCTAGTAAACTGACTTAATTACATGCATCTTGCCCGATAGAAAGCTTGATGGAAAATGAGCAAAATAATTAATCAGTTACAAAAGTTCGAAAAAAATAAGCAAAATCAAACAGCTAATCCAATTTAAAATGATCATGGTAGGTCAAAATTTCATTCTTTGTCCCAGTTAAACATACAATGCTTTCAAGTTCCTTCTCTGGAAAATCAAACAAGAGTCATGAATCTAGTATCTACCTCTAAAACTTACAGCAGATACAAATCCAACTCATTATGAACTTGAAGAAAACATAGGCCATTATAAAGATTCAGATGAAAATAAAATTTCAATGTTCGAAGATTCATGCTAACTGGGATTTTCAAAGCCATAACTGTTATATTTTTTGGGACAAAATAGGTCGCGCAGCTTTTGGGAGAAAGAAAGAAGAGCATATGTTAAGATTTGAATCCAAATCTGCTGAAGCTTCACTTAATCAAAACTTGTGAGATTGTATGGCATTATATCGATCCAATTCTCAGGACAAAAGAAAGAAACTTTAGTTGCGAGTATTACCTATGAGAAAGATTGAAATTTCCCATTTTGTAGGGAGTAAGAAGAGGAAGTGTAGGAATCATATTATCGGTGATGGTTTCTTCTTTCAGTTTCTGTTGATGTTGGCTAGATCCCATTTTCGTCTCCGGAATTCTGAAAAAGAAAATCTTTGTTTGGATGTTGGTGACTTTGGTTTGTCCACGACGTCTACAAGCCTACCATTTGAAGAAATGGGTTCAACTTTAAATAGAAACATTGTCGGATTTAAGACAATGTGATGACGTGTGAGATTACGTAAGCTCTTCTCCATTCTTACTTCTGTTGAACAAAATCGAAATGTCTCCGTCACCGACCGTCCGTTTACTTGGCACATCTGAACGTGGACGGCTTCGTTGCCTGGATGCATTTTAAATTTTAAATATATTTTTGAAGAAATAAATTTTTATATATTTAAATATAATGAAGGATCAACATGTATATTTTATTATATATTTTAAATTTAATTTCATAATTGACAAATAAATTATTTCATTCATTTTTAATTAATAATAAAAATTATTCAATCTTTATTCATTTATAATATATAAATCATAAACCAATTTTTTTATTTGAGATTGTTAAAATTAAATTTTAATTATTAAAATTAAAATTTTATTAAAAATTGTAAATAATAAATAAATGCTTTATTACATTTATGCAAATATAAGGATAACAATAAATAATAAATAAACAGAAATCATTCATTATTTGATCCGTTTATATCAAATTTGGATAATTATAAATGAATAATTAACAGATTCGAATAATTATTTTATTATTTGTGATAGATTCGAAACAGATATAAATAATATCTCTTGAATATTTAATAGCTGAATTTTTTTAAGTTTTAATGAATAATAATGGATATCAAAATCCATTATCATTTATATATGGAAAATATATAAAATTTTTGTTTGTAAAAGATTTCAAACTTTAAAAATAACTTTTATTTATTATTAATTAAGAGTAAACTTAAATTTAAATTAATTTTTTTTTGTTTTTGATAAAATTTTAAATAAATAAATATTTTAATAGATCAAATATTTAAACAGATAATATTTATTTAAATAAAATCGAATGTGAATATTAATATTAAACTTAAACAAATATTTAAATGAATTCGAATATTATAAATATTAAACGAATTTGAATATTAAGAAATAGTAAAGATCTATTCTCTTACCATTCTTGTACAGATACTTAATTTTATTTAAATTAATTTAAGTTGATCTCATTTAAAAGAAAAAATAAAACAATTTAAGCACCTTTGAATATTTTGATAGATTATTGGGCTTATTTGGGTTTTATTTTAAATCTAAATTGCTTGGGTCATTTTGCAGATATCAAGTTTAATTCAATTTAAGTTGAGTTATAAGGCCTTGGAACTTAAAAACAATTGGTGTAGTCCAAATCCAATTAGAAGGCACATTAGGTATTTGAGTTTGAGTTACTTAAGAGGTTGTATTATGACAAAGGTTTTTGTACTTTGCCAAATTTTAAAATTTAATCTTTATATTATAATTCATATAAATTTTTATGTTATTTTAATTTGATAATCTTAACTTAATCATTAATTTCATTAATTTTTTGTCATAAAAATACTGACATATGCATTGAACTTATTGACTTCACAACTTTGATGATAAAATCAATTGTTAAATTATATAAATAATATATATATGTGAAATTGAAATTTACTCCATCTAGTATAATTCCATAAAATTTTATCCTTTTACAAGTTGAATTTAATACTATTGGTCTAATAAATAAAAAAAATTATATTTTTTACTCTTTAAAAAATCATATTTTTTTGAATTTTATATTTCAAAATTTTTAAATTTTTCATATTTTAAATAATATTTTAATTTTTTTAAATCATATTTTTTAATTTTATAAAATCGAATTTTATTTTTTCCAAAAAAACAAACATTTTGAATTTTTTTAGAAATTGTCTAGATTTTTTAAGAACATTAAATTTAAATTTTAAAATATTTATTTTATTTTTTTGAAAGTTTTTGTATTTTTTTCAAAATTTAACATTTTTTAAACAAAATATTTAATTGGGTTAACTTCAGAAATATACCATATGTTTAAAGTCAAAATGAAAGTGCTCCTAAGGTTTAAAATGTGTACTTAATTACTCTATGATTTGTATTATTGTTTTTTTATAAAAAATATTCACTTTTTTCGTTTCTTTTCATTTATTTTTATTTGAATATATTATTTCTCTAAAACTAAATCAATTCTTTCTCTAAACTTAAACTAATCCACAAATAGTAATTTTCAAACTGTCAGAATCTCTACACTACCATTACTATTACAAGTTCATGTCACCACCATATTATGTGATTACCACCAAATCCAACAACCTATTAACCTCACCAATCAACCCCACCATTGAAACCAATAAACCACGTAAAAAATCAAACAAAATCATACCCAATAACCCACAAATAGAAAACCTAAAAAAGGCAATCAAATCAAAGATCTCTAATTTTCATGGGTATTGAAAATAAAAGACAAACACCAAAAAAAAAAAAAAAGGAACGACAAGGAAGTCAAAAAAGGTATTTCATAGGTTTGTCGATGTCAACATACGATGGTGAAATAGTAGTGATGATGAGGTTCACCAAATTTTGAGATTTGAATATTGGTTGATGAATTTATTCTTAAAGAATAACATTTAGAGAAAGAAAAAAGATCCGATGGTTTTAAAGAAAGAGTATGAATTTTTAAAGAAATAATGAGTTAAAGATAAAGTCTGGTGGTGATATGAACTTGTAATGGTAGTGGCAGTGTAAAGGTTCTGGTGATTTAAAAGTTGTTATTTGTGAATTGATTTGAGTTTAAAGAGAGAATTAGTTTGATTTTAAAGAGAGAGAATGAATTTTTAGAGAAAGTATGAATTTTTAGAGAAAATATGAATTTAGATGAAAAAAAAAAGGAAAAGAATAAAAAAAGTAAAAAAAATTGAAAAGGTAGCGATTTTGAGTAAAAAATAATAAAATAAACCATAAAGTAGTTAAGTGTCATATTTTAAACTTCAGATGGTATTTTCATTTTAACCTTAACCATAGGATATATTTTTAAAGTTTATCCCATTTAATTTTAATAGTTTTTAAATTTTTTGGAATTTTTATAAAATTTTCTATATTTAATTTTATAAATTTAATATTAAATCATCTTCCTTAAGTTTACTATACATGCTAATTGAATCAAGGTTTAGTGCCACCACTTGGATTAATATTAGCCAACTAATTAATAATGTGTTTTAAAATTGATGAAGTATTGTAATATTGTACATTATCAATGAATTATATAACAATGCAATATGATTTTTTTAAAGAGTTCTATTTAGACCCCAAGAATTAGTCAAAATACCTCAAAAATTTTATTACAAATTTAACTTTTAATGAAATTATTTAAATACCCATTAATCAATTATTTTTTTATCCTTTACATCTCTTTTTTCTTTTTCTTCTTTTCTCTTTTTCTCCTTCCTAGACTAGTAATATGGCTCTTCTCTTTTTCTTCCTAGCAACAAATCATATTATTATCAAAATTTACAACAAAAATTTGTAATATCTCATATACTATCAAAATGAAAAAACTTGAGAGAAACAACTACAATAATAAAATTTTGGGAATGACGATTAGGGAAGTTGATTTTAAAAAAATGAGTATAAAAAATACTTTAAACATTTTTGAAAATCCATTTTCAAAAACTTTTAAAGATTTCTAAACATCTATTTTTAAAAACTTTTAAGAGATTTTGAAAATCCATTTCATGAAATTTTTGTTTTAATAAGCTTTTAAAAATTTTAAATATTCATTTCTGAAAACTATTAAGAGCTTTTGAAAATTCATTTTAAAAAATTTTGAATCATACCGAGTTGAGGTGTTTAAGTGTTACTAATTAGTTAGTCTCCTTTTCCTCACTTTAAAGGTTAAGCTGCTAGATTTAAATTATTTCTTTAAGTGGGCCTTAAAAATAAATTCAATTCATTTCAAATTTCTTTTATTTAATAATTATAAAATGTCCAATCTATTATATAATTCAAAAAGCTCAATTTTATAACTAAACGAGTGAACGGCCCGGCTTCGCCCCTTTTTTTTTTTAATTTTGTATATATTGTATAAGTATATTTAAAGAAAATGAAAAGAAAAACAAATGTCAAAAATTTAAAAGCAAATGTTATTCAAGTAAAATTAATGAGATGGAAGCTAGCAGTAACAAATGAATAGATATTCCTGGCCATACTACCAAATGCAGAAAAGAGGTCAACGTTTGACGCTTGCTTACGTTTTATAGCTGAAACCAGGTTATTAGGCTCAATTTCTCTTGTGGGGTACAAAGACGTTATTAATCAGTGATTCCTTGATTGATAGCAACTCAGGGAACGCTTTCTTCAACTTTGACACATCCAATTCATTATTGCTTCAAGGGGCAACTATCACCTTGGCTTGTTTTTCCAATGTGAAGTTCATCCACTGAAACTTGGGGTAAATTTAAATCTTGTCATCTTCAGGATCTCATTATGGATCACAACCCCAGGGTTTGAAGTTCTATAAGCCCCTCAAGTTCCTTTTTGCCATATTAATAGATATTGCTCCTGCAAAAATAAAAGTTCAATAACAAAATTTAATGAAATAAAAAATATCAAATAAAATTTAATATTAATATATAATACAATAATAAATTTATCTTTTACTTTCTTTTATTTTTTACTCTTTTGTTATAATACATTAATGCTTAGATTAAAAATACATTAATACTGTGTCATCTTGGATCTTTTCAGTAGCTTGTATTACTCTACCAAGTAAAATGTAGATGATTAATACAAAGTAATTTCATGTAAAACTCAATTAAAGGTATCTTATAAAAGCAAGAATCAGTAGCATATTTCTAAATATGTAAGAAACAATTCATTTTATTGGTTCCTAATTACTCAAATTCAAATGTCATCTACATTTTACTTGGTAAAGTTAGAGGAAGATACGTAGTATGACGGCCTTAAGCAATAATTTTCCCAGTATTTTTCTTCCTCAATTCAACACTTAGAACAGCAGCAGCTTTCCCAACACGCGATGCCCTTGCTTTTATCCAATAGCATTTGCAAATTCATAAATGACAAATTATTTCACAAAAAGTTGTTGCAAAGAACCTTAAATCAGAAACATTACCATTTCTTGGTTCTACTATTAATGCCAGAACCTTAGGATGTGCAACATCATACTCAAACATACACCACGTAGCAAAATTCATCATCAAAAGCCCATGCTTTTTGCAAACATTTGCCAACGTCAAGGTTCCAACCACATTGGTGCAAATTATTTCTGTTTGGTAAGATTCACACCAATCAACATTGAGTCTACCAGTCACACCAGTAAAACTGAACTTTCGAGGAGGACAAATTAACAATACGCCATAGAAAATCGAATTGTCATACTCTAAAAAATAAAAACAGTCAAAACTTAAATATCAAAATAAACTTGAACAAGGATAAAGAGCACGTGGTCATGTCCCTGTTCGATTGCAATGACTTTAACGGCACTTCACATGGCGAAGCTTTTGTTTTATTCTTTTCTATAGGTAAAACACAATTATCCCATAATTGCAAGTCTCAAACTTAACTTAAAGGACTCATAAAATATACTTGCTCACGAACATCAGTACTTGGGGAATCAAAAATCTTCACAAAAATCGAAACAGCCCCATGATCAATAACTACCTTTGTGTTCTTTGTGGTTCCAGAAGCAATATTTATAAGTGTCCAAGCAGCCTCAAGCTACAGTTTTTCCAAATACATTAGCGAAATTCGTATATAAATTAAACACCCAAAAAAATATTATTAGCAGTTAAGAACTCATACCTAAAGCTGTGGAAAATCTTCCCTCATAAGAAACTTAGCAAAGTAGGGAACAACGTTAGATTGTATCACTTCCTCAATTGAAGGACTTTTCTCTGTTAAAAAATTAAAAAATATATATATTTTTAAATTTAGATAAAATTAAAAGAAAAACAAAGAGAAATGCATAGAAATACCAATTTTTTGCCAAATTAGCAATTTCACTCTTCATCTCGTATCGTTCCATTCAAGGCAACAAGTTCCCTTAACTATTGCCTCTTATGCTCATTCAATACTTCATCAATAGGCTGCAAGAGCTTTTCCACCATTGCTGCAGCAACATCAAGTGATTCTTGTGTTTCAGCCTCAACTAAAACATGCAAGTTCTTATTCTTTGAAGGTTCAGGTGAAAGAGACCTAGCTCCCTCAGGTCTATCATCCAAATGCAATCCAGATTGCAACACCCTTCCAATCTCTAACAACTTACTATTCAAAGTTTGAATTTCAGGGTCAAATTGAATATCTTCAGTAAAATTTTTCATGAAATTAGAGAATTGAATTACCGGCTTCGGCTCATTATCTGCCCATTGAGACTTCCTCTTCTTGGTTCCACTGCCCATCTCATCATTCTTGCTTTAGTTGTTGTTTGAGTCGGAAGACGGGTCCCGCCTGCGCCTCCTTTGCCTTTGGCTGATGGTTTCCTCTAAAGCTTTTTTAGAACAAAACCCACAAAATAAAAAAGAAGAAAAAAAACCAAAAAATTTAAACGAAAATCTAGACACGTGGTGGTTTTAGAATCCTTCGAGATTCTTTTTATATATAGTGTATAGGTAATAGATGTATTCCTAATAAGGGGTATCAGTGACAGCATTCAACCATTGATTTAGTTTCTGAAACGAGCGATCTCAACCGTTGGTTATGGTTTTCATTTTTTTTAGAAAATAAAAATAAATAATATTTATGATCTTTAAATTTTAAATCAAATTTTATTTTAATCTTTAATTTTTAAAAAAATTTTAATCATATTATCAATTATCAAAAGTTATTTTATTTTGAACTATTTGCTTACGAAATTATCTAAATTAACAATAAATGCTATTGGTATTAGGGCTGTAAACGAGCCGAGCCGAGCCGAGTAATGAGAAGCTCGAGCTCGAGCTCGACTCACAACTTCGGACTCGATACTCGGTTCGAGCTCGATCGAGTTTTATTTTTCAAGCTCTGAGCTCGATTCGTGATCGAATTCGAGCTACTCGAGCTCGCTCGATTAAGCTCGATTAATATGTAAAAATAAGCTCGATTCGTATACTCGACAAGAGTTCGATTATCATGCTCGAACTCACTCGAACTCGAACTCGGATTCGAAATATTTTATTAATTAAAAAAAATAAAAATATATTAAATATAAAAATCGATTAGGCTCGCGAGCTACTCGAGTCAGATATAAGAATACTCGAATTCGGCTCGATCGTAAGTCGAGAACTACTCGAGCTCGAGCTCGACTCGACAATAATCGACCGAATTCGAGTTATTTTTCGAATCGAACCCGAGTAGTTTGCGAGTATAATGTATCATTTACACCCCTAATTGGTATCACGTGAATGTCATTAACTAGAATTTTATGATGCAAATGAAAGGATCAAAATAAAATTTTACTTAAAGTTTAGATATTAATGATGTTATTATCTCAATTTTTTTTATAAATTTTTAAAAATATTAAATTTAAAATAATATTTTTATATTTTTATTGTTTATCAGTTGAATATATTTGCATTAACTGACATCCTAAGAAGATCAAAATAAAATTTTATTTAAAATTTAAAGACTAATGACGTTACTATCTCAACATATATATATATATATATTATAAACTATTAAATTTAAAAAATATTTTTATATTTTTATTGTTTATTAGTTTAATAACATAAATAATATTTTTATGACATAAAAATATTAAATATCATTTTCTTCTGCCCTTTTAAAATATATTTTATAAAATATATTTTTTAAAAAGAAAAAATAAAAATAGAAACAAAAATAAGTGCCGACAAAGTTGATTTTTTATATTTAAAATATAATTTATAAAATATTTTAATTTAAAATATATATTTTTTATTATGATGTGATTTATAAGTAAAATAATATTTTTAATAATATATATTTTTTAAAAAATTTAAAATTATGTTAAAAAATGAAATATCCCTTTTAAAAAATTTCATATCATTTTAAAATATTAAGTATAAATCTTATATCATTTTACAAAATAGATTTATTAATGATCTATTTTAAATATAAAAAAAATTTATAAATATTATTTTCAATAACTCAAATGGGCGATGGTAAGAACCTGTTTTAATGCCTATTTTTTATTTTTTTATAAATACAATATTTTATTAATGAATAAATTCAAAATAATTCTTGTTAATAGAAAAAATTATGAATAGATTAATATATGAATTTTTTTAAATGATTTAGAATTTTTTACTTAATATTTTAAAATGATATTAAGATTTTTATTTAATTTTTTAAATCAATACTTAATTTTTACTTAATTCTTTAAAATAATATGTTTTAAGTTAATTTTAATTTTTGAAAATATTTTCCATTAGAAACAACAAAAATTTAACAAATAAATTAGGTTGTGATAAAAATATAAAAATAACATTTTAAATTTAATATTAAAATATTTTTAAAATATAAAAAATCAAAATAATAGTAATTCTGTCTCATTTTTGTAACAAATTTTTCTTTTTTAAGATATTTCAAAATTATGTCTTATTTTGTTTTGAATATCTAAAATTATTTTTTTATATTTTAAAATTAGTTTTATGATTTTTTATTTTTTGATTTTAAAAATCATTAAATTTTAATTTTATAAAAATTTGTAAAATTTTAATATTAAATATATTAAAATTAATTTTTTTTATCTCTATAAAAATTAATACATAATAAATATATTAAAACAAGAGGAGTAACATTTTTAGTCATTGAATGATTCCATTGTGATCTTTTCATTTATAACTTGATATGTCATTTGCGTTATCCACGTGGCGCCTGCTGTTAATTACTGTCAATTTAAACGGTGAAACAATCAAATTAAAACAACTTGATCTAATTAGAACTTTTATAACATGACCAAAATATAATTTGAGTCGGTATAAGGAGCGCAATACTATTATTATTAACTTACAAAACAATACAGCACCCAAAAACTCTTCTTGAACTATCTGTTCTCCCAGAACCGAAGTGAAACCAGTTCTTGATCTTGGCTTGTTGCTCTTTGTCTTAAATGGATAAAAGAGGCCAAGAATCAAAGAACCCAGAATCAGGAAAAGAGGAAAACAATGAGAAAAAGAAGAAAAAGGGAATGGAAATAGAAGGGTACCGAGTGGAAGGATTGTCAATAGGAGGGCATGAAACTTGCATTATTTTCCCTACTCTAAACTTAGCATTTGATATCGGTCGATGCCCACAACGTGCCCTTTCTCAAGACTTTCTCTTTATCTCTCATGGCCATATGGATCACATTGTTAGTTACTTCCTCTCTCTCTTTCTCTTCTGTTTTTATTCTTTTTTGTTTTATTTCTTCTGGTTGTCTAATTTTTGTTCCTAGTTGTTTGGTGAAATTCTACTGCTTCTGTCTATAATTGGTAAATTTTTTGGTCAAAGGAGACCACAGCTTGGGTCAAGTAGGAGGTTGCAGGTGCTGTGATTTAATATTTGAACCAAATCTGCTGCCTAAGCCCAGTTGAGCTAAGCTGCGGGTTTTATTATTGGTAATTTTGACATAGAACAAAATAAATAATACTATTAGAATATTAGGTGATTACTGAAGAAACAGTACTCTTCTAAAAATTTGATGTTGAATACGCAAAGCTTGTTTTTGTTTGAGCATAGAATTGGAAGGTTTCTTCGTTTCAAATTTAAAGAAAAATGTGTTGCTTTTTCCAAGTTTTCCTTTCTTTTCTATATCCCATTTTCTTTATGTTGATTCCCTTAATTCTTTTTGGTTCAAAGAATGTTTTTTTACTTTCTGTCTTGTTTGAGTACTAGTTGTGCACATTTGTTTTCATTTGTCAGGGTGGCCTGCCAATGTATGTTGCAACACGGGGTTTATATGGCATGAAGCCCCCAACAATTATTGTACCTACTGCTATAAAAGATGATGTTGAGAAACTCTTTGAGGTGCATAGAAAGATGGATCAATCAGAGCTAAAGCATAATTTGATTGGCTTGGATGTGGGTAATGTGCAACTTTTATTTAATTTTCAGAAGCTTACCCTTTTTAATCACTTCCTTTCACATGTATTTTCTCTTCAATTGCATATCATTTATATTTGCAGGAGAAGAGTTTTTCATGAGAAGGGACCTAAAAGTAAAAGCTTTTAGGACTTACCATGTCATACCAAGCCAGGTGAATAAGTCCAGCTCTAGTATTTTCTTTTCCCTTCTTTAGGCTTCCAGCGCTGACTTTATTTTCACTTAACATTTGCATGGTGTAATTGTTGCAGGGTTATGTAGTTTACTCCGTAAAACAAAAACTTAAAGAAGAGTATCTTGGACTTTCTGGAAATGAGATCAAGAACTTGAAGTCGTCAGGTGTGGAGGTCTGTCTTGATAGTCATAATTATAACTTATTTAAAATTCCACAGATGGATGATGGTCTTTAGTTTCTTTTATTTCTTAAGTTACTTCTGTTCCTTTCTGAATTTGTTCTCCTTAACAGAAAACTTCTTTCTGTTTTTTCCTTTATTTATGAAAAGATCTTCAAATAAGAAGATTACAACTGGAGCAGAGCTTAGGAATATATTATCCCTCATAGTTATTATAGGGCTTTAAACTTTTGCTAATCCTGCTTGTGCCTTGAATTTTTGACAAATTATACCCTGAATTAAGATAAAATCCAAAGGAGTGCAAAAACATCCTCATTCAAGTGGGGAAGGCAACTAAGGAGGGAAGTATGATATGTCAAAATTCCAAATTATCGGTTTGCAGGAGTAATCAATATAAAATTTATTTGTATGTGTTTTCAAGAAAAAAAAAAGTTAGTTTTATGAGTTTATTTTTCTTTCTAAAATTTCAGAGTATGTTTGCATCACTGGAAGTTTATAGTTTATATCTGATAATAATGGTTAAAATCACCAAAGTGGTTTTTGAAAGAGTTTTTAAACTAGTTGTGTTTAAAATTTCTCGTTAGGTTAATTTTCATCATTGTAGCCAAAAAATTCTCCTTCATTTTACCTTTCATATCTGTTGCACTTAATTCTCTTATAAAGCTTGTATGTAACTTGGTTCATTCGTGTTTTGCAGATTACTTACACTACTACAGCACCAGAAGTTGCTTTTACTGGAGATACAATGTCTGACTTTATAGTTGACAAAACTAATATTGATGTTTTGAGGGCAAGGATTCTTGTCGTCGAGGTGCATTGCTGGGATTCTTTTCTTTTTCTTTTTACAACTTCTGAGCTGGAAATTTCAATTTGCTTTTATTCATCTCAATTTTAGAGATGAGGCTATTCTTTTGGGTAACCACAGGCTACTCAAACTTGGAATTCTAATGGGAAACCACTTCCATAAAAGCTATCTTGAATTGTTCTCTTGATAAATGTTAAGCAAAGGCTACAAGGTTATCTTCATGGTGCAATTTGTGTCTATACTTTTTTCAGGTGATATCCAGTTCACAGTCCTGCATGTATCAAACGGTTGTAGTTTGCCTTTGCAAATAGTGAAATCTTCAATCATTTCCATCTCGTTGGTTGGGTGTGCTGCTGTGCATTCATGATAGGAGCATACTCAGCAGTTCTTGTTAGAGTTAATTACTCCCATCCCCCTATGTATTCAAAATTGTCTTGAATTCCTAAATTTTTGACATCATGATTTGCATGGTTGGCTCAAAGAAATCAAGTTTTATGCCCTGGTTAATGAATTCATTATAGCCATTGAGTGTCAATGAAATCCTAAATAATGCAGTATTCAACTGCAGTTTAGCAGTTTATCTTCAAAAGAATTGGAGATATTAGTTATTAGATTTTTTGCTGTCAACATGTCACACTTAAAACACTATTACTGGTTAACATATTAGTCCTAGATAACTAAGAATCTTTGTTTTCCTGCAGAGCACATTTGTTGATAACTCAGTATCAGTTGAGCATGCAAGAGATTATGGGCACATTCATCTGTCTGAGGTAAGACTTTCTGAGGCTCTAGAAACCCTCATATGTTTTATGTTAGACAATGTGTAATCCATTCAGGATATATAACTGCTTCTGTTGTTTCTTATGGATGGGCTTCTAGATTATTGATTATGCGGACAAGTTTGAAAACAAAGCAATTCTTTTGATTCACTTCTCAGCTCGGTATGCATTAGAGGTATGGCCTGACTGTTCTGGTGTATGTGACTCATTTTATTTGCAAACCTTGGATAATAATTTGAAAGTGTCACTCTCTTGATCAAGTATAGTTCATTCATTGAAGTCAAGTTGTGCGCTGTGCTATTTACCTACCTATAATCAAGGATTGCCAAGTTATTCCGGCTGAAGTTAAAAAAAAAAAATGAATTTCCTAATCTCTAGCAGAGAGTTTCCAGATCTTTGTTTGGTTCAATCTTTGGCCTCCCTCATTCAAAGATGCTTTTCATTTTTTGACAAATTCGAAGATGCTTTCTGATTGAATGCACCATCATCTGCTAAATGATTGTGATCGTTACAGTCAGTCTTGTTTTAAATTGCTACCTTAATATGTGTTTCTTGTTGTGGTTAAGAAGTTAATTTGCCATTCCTATTCTGCCAGAATATCCAGGAAGCAGTTTCTGCACTGCCTTCACCTCTGGCTGGCCGAGTTTTTGCACTTACAGAGGGTTTCTAAAGGAGTGGTGTTAAGACTAAATCTCTTTTCTTCATGTATATTGTGCAAGTGAATCTATGTGGTCCATAATTCTGGCTTATTGTGGTTAAGAGTTAATTTTTCTCAGAATTCTAGTTATAGACTTTATAATGAAGGCATTATGGAACTTTACAGTGCATTAATGTGCTTACTCAAATTCGATCATTTGGTTTAGGAAAATAACATGACTGGGGCTAGCCATGTCAATGCCAGTTTCATCATTATTGTTGAATTCATTCTTTTAAAATAGTGAAAAGGAGAAAGAGCTCTGCACCTTTTCTCATTCTGTGAAGCTGTTAGTGAAAAGATGGCCTTGGTTTTACAATTTCTTTATTTTGCAAAAATAGGTTTGAGGCCTCGGGCGTGTATGGTTGCTAAAGAATTGTTTTCATTTTCACAATACAAGAAACTAAATGAAATCGTATTATTTATTCAATTTGTTGTCATTTATTCAAACCGAAGCAGTAATGCATGCATGCCTGGCTTCTCTATTTGTTGTACTTTTTATGTGGTAGACAGTTTTGACAAACACATAAGCTAACAAAGCAACCATAAGATCTCAAAGGTTAAATATGAGCTAATGAAAATAGTAAAAAAATAACTTTGGTTCAATCCAAAGGCACAGAAGTCACATTGACACAAATAGATTGGACAAAGCAGTGCAAATGACAAGAATAGAATGTCACCGCAACAACACCACGATTCCTAGTATCTCCAGCTCTCAACTTTGCAATTAAATTTGCCATCAAACAACAGAATCTTGCATCAAATGCTAGGAAGCTAGCCACTCCCTATAAAGATTTATTGAGTTCTTCATGGAACTCTGGATGCAACATCAATGAAGAGATGTTCTCATCCAAAACAAATACGAGACATTTCAAGGCATCTTCAAGCTCAGGAACCCAATTACAGGCCTTCAACCCCAAAGCAGAGGAAGCCTTCATGGAATGGCTGGAGGAAGTTCTCATACTTTGTCAACCACTTCCCCAAGTGCCGAATCAAATTCACCGTCTCTTTACCACCTAACTTACCAATTGAAGACGACAATATCACCTCATCAACATTATTTGACGCTAACAAATAATGCAAACAAAGCTCGGCATCCGAAAATCCATCATGTGCAACCATAAGCAAAATTGAAGCCTCCTTGGCCCAACGCAATTTCTTTCCAAGTCTTGCCTTCTCAACAGAGAGCAAAGCTTGACTCTCCAATTCTTCCTCGCATTAACCATGCTAACATAACCGTCTTTAGGTCGACATAGAAAATATTTCAATATGCAAAGCAACTCAGACGAACCCAAATTGCGAGCATGTTTAAGACGAAGAGCAAATCCGCCCTCAAGTTGGCAGCAACATTTACAGCCAAATTTGGATAACATGAATGGTCAACAAGTCCGTTAACAATCAAAGCCTCTAGCAATTCCCAAATTTCCAAAATAATACAAGCTTCCGAAACCAAACTTAATACATCTCTACCCATCAAAAACCCAACTTTCTGAAGCAAAATTTAAGTATAACCACTACCATTTGAATCAACCCCAATAAAATTTCCACATTTCTCCCCAATTTTCTCTAGAAATGGATTCAATATTCCAAGAAATTCTTGTTTATCAAAGTTATGGATGTCTTTGAGCTTTCCGCTTAACTTGGTATAGAACTTTTGCTCAAGTCAATGAGTTTAACATCGGTTGGAGAGATTCCACATCCAGTAAGGGGACTAACAAGCGAGGTGGGATATGAGTTTTCAACTTCAGGCTTCAAGTTCAGGAAAATGCGATCAGGGTTTAACATTATTGGGTGGTCTGCTTGGGAACAAAGTGGCTCAACATTAGGTAAGGCCTTTGTTATTACATCGAGCAAGGTCATTGTAAATGCTAAGGAAACAATCTCTTAAACAAACAATGAAAGAGCAAAAACTTCAGAATCAGCAACTAAAACCCCCCAACAAGCGATCAAAAAGGCTACAGAGCAAGAAAAATAAACCTATCTTAAAGTGAATCCTTGTAAAGAACAGGATAGACGTAAGATGGAGCAGGATGTTGGGTGCCCTCAAATCAGGGAAGAAGAGAGAACGACGGGTACCAATGGGTTTTGAAAGAAAACATGGAGATCAGTCGGTAGGGTTTTGGGAGAGAGGATAGAACTCCAATTTTATTTTAATTAAGGAAATCTATTGCTATCCCTAGATTGTATTCTTGATCTGCATGTTAAGAATCTCGAACTTGAGAAACAATGGGGAAAAATACAAAAACCATTCCAAATGTAACTTGGATCTTCATGGAGTTTATATGAGCATCAAAGGTAGACTTCCAAAAACTAAGACTACACATACTAGCAAGCAGCAAGATCAATAAGTTGCTACTAAATTGAAAAATGTCAGTATTTCTTATTGAGGAAAAGAAAAGAAAAAAAGAAAACAAAAATTTCCCTGTCAATTTTTATTTCTAAACTGAAATGGCACCAGCAAAAGTATAGATGAATCTCTAAATATTGATAACTAAAATCACTACTCAAGTTGAGGGTGGGATTTCCCAATCCCTTGGCAAGGGACCAAAATCATATATGATTTCCCTGTGACATGACCAAACCAGCTTTATTGCTTCTGGTGTCCCAATTCCTGCTCCTCTTGGATCTCCAGCCGGTCCAAACCTACACCACAACCATTGTTATTTAGATTTAAAAGCTACTGCAAGAATGAACAAAAGTTAAAGGGAAAAGTTGTTTTGTTTACGACTTCATCATCTACAACTTTTTTTTTCATTTTCTTTCACTCCATATTTTGTTCCTTGTACCTATCGTAGTCATAGCCTTCCATTTTCATCTCCTACTACCAAATATGCTGTTATACATGAAAATGATTTTTAATTCTTTTTTTTAACTTACCAGTGGTTTTGTGGAGCTCCAGTAGTCCTTGCTCTCAGTCCAGCATAAGTTGTCCCATTCACTGTATTTCCAATAACATCCTGTGGATTTGCATTTGATGAAAATTACTATGTGCTGAACAAATAAAGGACCATTCAAGTTTGAGTAATAAAGTTTGAAATTTCATATTTAGAACTGACTGTGACTAAAATTATTGATTGCAACATGATTAAGTCTTACCTGCAAGAAAATCGGATCGTTTGAGACCACGGCAGCAGTTAGATGTGCATGCATTCGTTCCAATGCATCCAATACCATCGGTAATTGATCCTTCTTATAATCAGTTATAATCTACAAGCAAATACGTTAATCAATATTTTTGCCTCTTTTATTCAGAAAATATTAAAAGGATAAGCATCCCATCTTTTGCATAGCTTAAATGGTTATACCTGAAATGGCCCAAAAATTTCTTTGGTTACAAGCTCATAATTAGCCTCCTTTAAAATTTCTTCAAGAGGAATGTAAATGGCAGTCGGCTTCAGAGCACCATATATGGTTGGAATAGAATGATTCTCTAAGGGTTCACCTCCAAAAAGTAACTTGGAACCTGAAATTTGAAGCAGTTTCGTTTTGTGCTCCAACATTGCTTCAGTTGTGACCTGCAACATATTATACAGATAAAAGGGGGAGATGGAATATAAATAAGTACTTCCAGCGAAGATGTCAGAATTCAAAAATACTAGCAGAGATGGAAAACTATGAATAAAATCAAGAATGCCATGCATCTTTCATCTTATTAGTTCTATTTTTCGTTATGGACAGATCAAACTAAACAATGCAAAATTTCAGATGGATCCAAACTCTGAATTATATATAATTGTTTGTGGGTGTGAGTGTGTATACACATTTATTTGCAGTGTAGGTAAGGAAAAAGAGGAGCATAAGGAGGGTATAATCTATGACATGTTAAAAATTGAGATACAACTCTGTTTTCATATTGATACATAGTTACTCTCTCCAATTAAGCTTTCAATAAGTTCATTGTAGTTGTAAGAAGACCCATAAACTCATTAATAGTAGAATACGCATGATGAGATATTAGAAGTGCAAAACAAGAGAAGTTTTTTAAATAAGCCTGACCAATGCACTCGTAAATTATTGCCTGAGGTGAAACTACCTTTTGAACTAGGGTGTTCATGGATATCTCAAAAATTGAAAAATAAAATAATTTGTAAGAAAATTTTTCCCTAATCACCCCTAAAAAACACCCCGTAAACACCTTTTTCATCAACAATTGGAAAATCCATTGGTAGTTTCTTATATATATTATAAGTGGATACTCCCGAAAAAACAAAATCCTGGATCTACAATTGATTATTACTGATTATGTTGTATCAACAAGTTATATTCTTCCTTTTTTTCTGCACGCCAGGGGGGGTGGTAAGTCTCTGTATATTCTATCACTAAGTTAATCAATAACATTTAGTTTCATTAATGCAAGAAAAAGAATACTCCAATCAAGTTCAACTAAGCACGTAGTTTTTGACTTGGGCAAGCTTAACTACCTTTTTAATTTAACTGGCTTGGCAAACAGCCAAATTTTGGTATCTTTTCATCATCCCAAAATCTACATTTACTATTTCCATTCGATCAATTTATTAGGAATTTTTTTTTTCAAATTGATAACATACAAAATATTTGATCAAATTATATTCTGATTTCTAGAATTTCAACTTCAATTTCTTTTTGGACATTACTATATATCTTAAAAGGGTAAAAAATATTTGATACAATGTTAAATATGATTCTTAGTAATCCCTACTGATAATAAGAAAATAACATACAATAAATGAAGCATACTTACAGTAAGGACAGGACCAATAGTTAAATCTGCTAACTTCCTTCTCTCAGCAAGATCTTGTATTTTAGATACGAGTGAACTTGTTGACCAATTCTAAAAAAGAATATACACATTACTAAGAATATGAAAAAGAAAAAACTTCAGAAGTTCAAAATAAAAAAACAGAACATTTGTGCTACAAATAAGACTGAAGAGTTATCTTACATTCATATGTAATAATTGGCTAAAGTAATGCAAAAATTCGAAATAAAAGTTGATAACCTCATGCATGAATAGTATTGATTGAGCTGAGCACTTTTGACCACTGCATGCATATGCATCCTGATCGCAGACCCATGCAACATAATCAACCTGCCATTCAAAGACAAAATGAAATATCCAACACCAGTTTAGACTTTGGAAAAGAAAGGAATACTCGATTGTAAATTGTTTTCAAGGAACCTCTTCAACATCTGGTCCAAGAATTTTCCAATCAAATCCTGCATCTTCCAGTTTTATGCGACCCTTCAGGTCAACAGCCAATTTCTCTGCCACTCTAGAGCTGCCAGTAAAGAGGGTCATTCGTGGATTTGCCTGCTTAAAAGAAACATCGTAGGTTAGTGGGCTTAAGCTAAAGAATATTACAAAAGCTTTCTCCTAAAATAAATATATAGTAGCCTTTCCAGAAAGTAAAGGTGGTGGTTTCAATGGAAGCAAAAATGAAGGAAAAAAGAAAATATCTTTATACAAAAGAATGGCTTTCACATGCAAAGAGTATTGCTCTCATAACCAAAATCCATTACCACCTATACTAACCCCCTGTATGTGTTCCTCTTGCTCCACTCTTTAGAACTTCTAGGAGATGGCTGGGAAAAGTGTCAAAAAATGGCTCAAGAAAGGCGGATAACAAAGTTAAAGAGAATTGGAACTTAAAAACAAGTGAGAAAACAGGGAAAATAATTGAAACAAAATGAATGAAAAAATGTTAGAAGTGCTTCAAGGGTTGTGCTCTTTAGAAGTTATATAACCTGATACAAGGTTAAGAAAAGTATTTAACTAGTAAAAGAGAGATAATTTGTACTCAAAATAACCAACCTCCATCAACAGCTTGTTCATGGTCTTCCCATCGGAATTTATGAAGTCTACATCATCTGCTGGTAGCCCACAATAATGAAGCAGACGCATCATTTGCTCCATGACAATGCTTACCTACAGAAAGAGGTTTCAAAATATTACTAACTCATAATAGACCATCAAAGTACCAATTAAAGCAATGAATGACAACTAAACCAAGCTTCTAGTAGTAAACCTTGCTATCAACTTTAAGAACGGGTTTGTTGCCCATATAGAGTGCTCCCATCAGTTGAAGTACAGGAATCTCCAGTGGGAAATTGAAGGGAGTAATAATAGCAACCTGCACATTATTATTTTTCAATTTCAGAAACTATGAGAAATATGATCAACTACTGTGACAAATATGAAATTCTAAAATATTCAAATGCCAGGGAGGGACCTATGGACAGAAATGACAGTAACCCCTCATCACTCACTGCAATGTGAAACAAGGTTCACTTCAAGAACAAATAACAAATAAATCATGCCTTGACAACATTAAGCAACAAAATCACCAGAGAATCTGGCTGCCAGAGATTGACTGATCTTTTATTATCATTTAATTCTTTCCAGAAATTATATAACATGCATTAGCTTTATTACTATTCTCAGCTACAAAATTGAACCACTTACGCTATTGTTTTGTTAAAATTAAATAGGAATCATGTGGTCTGATCATTAAACTGTTATAGGAAGAGTAAATTTAATCTTATTACAACAATCCTATCATAAAGCTTCTTTTCTCATGTAAAATCCTATAATGCAAATCTATGAAAAGCTCTAAAGTGCATTGATACTATTGATAGTCTAGCTATATAAACTTTATAATTGGTAGGAACCATTCTAAGACACATTTTCCTCATCTCCTCTTCTATTCAGTTAATTAGTACTTAGAGAAGCTAATTTCTGGTTAATTTTAACTAATATAGGTGGTGAAAATTGCTTAAATTAGTACACTTAATAAATTTTCCTTCGTCGACAAGAAGCCAATTGCTTTATTCTTACAAATGTTTTTGACACCAAGATGTGAAAGTGCTTTTCTGATGATGAGAATCAACCATGAGTAAGAGAATGTCTTACCGGACCATAAGGCCAACGGTACCCATGGCTTTGCTGTCCTATATGATTTCCAGGTACTGCAAAAGACCTTGCTAGGAAACGGACCTACCATAATGTAGAATAAAAGGAACAGGTTAATAAAAACTTCCTTAGTAAAAGTTTCACAGATCATAACTGAAAGAGATGAATTTTTATCACAGGTATGGACTTCAGGAATATTTCTAGTCTTG